CTCAACAAGAGGCTTTTGGCTAAAGGAATAAATAAGGAGAAAAACCTTCAGCCTGAAGTTCTGATAAGCCTCTAATGCAGTAATCTAAACATCTGTTATCTTTAAACAAGTGACATTGTAATTCCCAAAAAGACAAAGACTCAATCCTTTTGACTCTCTGAGCTCTTTGTAAAAAAAAAAACTGATGAAAAAGAGAGAAGGGCAATTTAAAAGTGGTTTGATTTAAGCAATGCACAGTGCCAAACAACTCTGGAGAAAACCAGAACTGGTTTTCAGAGCCAGCGCTGTATTGTGTTACAGGCCTGATGGTTTTATTTGGACCCCATTCAGTCCCGTTTACAGAATCCAGTGATGTGATCAGTTACATCATCAATAAAGGTCTAAAGAGCCGCTTACCGTGTGAGCCAAAACAGTAGCGCTTTGATGGGAAAGCTGGCTCTTTAAACCACGCACACGCTCCATGCTAACAGCGGGGAAACCCAATCCTTGCATGCTGTTTTACCACTCAACTTTTACGTCTTCTACACGAAGGCTGAAGAGCTTGTTTGGAGTACTAATTAACTCAAAGCTGTTGTATATTAAGAGCACTGGGCATTTTTTGTAGAGCTAGTTCTAATGAAAACAGAGTGCCAGGGAACTGCATTAGCAAGCCGCTTCTTCCTCTCACTTCCCAGTGCATTCCAACTCTTGTCTTTCAACTTTTCCTTCTTCTTCCTTTACAACAAGCCGTGGCCTCTGGAGGCGGAAGTTAAATGGGTCACAAAGGGAGGCAGTGGTAATGATATATTGAAACAAAGTCAGAGAAGATGAAACGAATGATAAGATGGTACCAGTCCTAAGCCTGACTTGCTTGGGGTCTCCATTTCTAGTGGTGTTCTGGTGAAAACATTCATGATTAGGAGCCAGTATCACAGCCATTAAAAGCAACAGATGGACACACTGTCTCTTTTGTTTAAATCTTGGACAAGTGGTTCCTTTAGGAAAACTGGGTTTGAAGTCCCATAATCTATAGGCAAGTTAACAAAAACAAGTAAGCTACACTGTAAAACATATCTGTTAATTAACGGTTTCCGTATTTTGTGTTTTCAGTCTATTCACAATTTCATAATGGGACCTTGATCTCTGCTCTGTCTACTTTTGATGTTGAAAATTTAACTCTACAATTCAACAATGTGACTTTTATTGCCATTTTAGTAGTTTGATATAACAATGTATAAGATATAGTATATAGAGAAATAAATAAAACGTACTGACAGCTTATTACAAGGCTTTTGCAGCATAAAATGCAACACCAACCCAGACAATATATCACTTTAAATTATTACAAATGCTCATCAAAAGTTTCTTTTTCCAACTTTTTACAGTTTAAAGTTGTCACAAACTGTTAATTTACGGATATTTTAAAGTGTTTATTATAGGTTGAAAAAATCCTTAAAATAATTAAAATTGGCCAATTTATTAATCAACGCTGGAATAGGAAAAAGGAAAAAGATACAACGGACGTGCAACAACTTTAATCATAAGGTAAACACAAAACAAAACTTTTCATCTGGAGCTTCTTCACAGGACTCGACACTTGTAAACACTCCAGCAGGTTCGTGTGACTCTCAGTCCCACACACACTTGTCAGCGCTACCAACCCGACCTATCAAAGAGTTTGCACTACGCGTCGTTGCGACATGTAGTTACATTTTTTGAGAGATGCGCATCAGCGATGGTAACAGCGAGGGGTATGTGACCACATGAAGGCTGCGCCTAAACATACGCCTGCGCTTGGCGCAGAAGTATAAATCAGCCTTAAGTATACTTAGACCAATAGAATTTTCAAAAGAACAGCATTTTTTAAAATTTTTGATAACATTATTAATATCTTTACAGTTACATTTGATCAATTTAATGTTTCAATGCACAATATCACAATGTAATTTTAAACATAGAAATTGTTGCTTGTTACGTTAATATCTATACTGTTATGACAGCCTAGCTAATGTCATACAAGAGAAAAAAGAGCTACTCCTCAGTCATGACAGTACAGTGTAGGCCAGCTGTTTAAGATCAGCTCTGTTCCGACTCCAATATCCAAACCAAGTGGCTTCCACTTCTAAACATAATTAAACTGTTCACATGAAATCCACTGCTACCTGAAACCTGTCAGCATGTAGGGGCCTGTTTACTAGAAGGTGCAGAGCGCTACTTCTCACAGACAGGGTGCGATGGAGTGCGCCAAAACAGACGGTAGTAGCACAGTGGCTAGTTCTGCGGACGCGACAACAGCGGGAGTCTTTAACAGATTGGGCCTTTCTCTTAAGAAGTGCACTTAAAAGAGGTTTTACAGCCGAGCTATAAATCTGTCGCGCTTCAGGCTGTGTAAATAAGACAGTGGTTTGTTTTTACCTGACACATCTGAGCAGAGAGAGAAAGAAAGGCTGATGGTTAACCTCACAATGATAGGTAGAGCGTTGAGAAGAAAACCGGCCTGGATTCCTTTCTGAGGGCCTCAAGCTCAGGGGCTTTGAAGTGTAAGTCAAACGCAGAGGAAGATATGAGACGTGAAAAGTGAGGACTGAGAGGACAAGAATGAAAGAATGTGTAAAAAGAGATGAAAAATGAGAGACGACCAGCTGACGTACTGAAAGGAGGAGTGGAGATCCTTGTACCTGTCTCCAATGAAAGTGCAAGAGAAAAAAAGAGAAGAGGAAGAATAGGAAGAGAGTATCTCCAGGCACAGACTGCTCTCATTGCCCTTGGCTTTTATGTGTGTATGGAGTGTGTAAAGACCTTGACCACTGCCACTGACCAGCTTGTGTACGTCCACGTCTCCGACTGGGTGGTCCACTAACCTTGCTTGATTGAGCACCACATACCACACAAACCAACTCCTTCACACACACACATACACACAAAGGCACACTCATTCTTCTGCTGCATCTTTCCCCCTCCATCTTTCTTCGCATATACGTCACATTTATTTATGGCGCTCTTGTAAGCATTCTCTTTATTCTCCCTCCTTTCCATTTTTTCATTTCACATAATTGCTCGGTGGAGGGAGTAAAAAAAAAACGCAATCCACTTTGTGGTGAGAAAACGGATTTGGGTGACCGCAGTGTGTACTTTGCAACTAATCCAATTCAATTATTTTTAAGCAAAGAGCAAACTTTTCAATGAGTCTATTCTTGAAGCACACTTACAAAGAGAGACCTTCAAAAGATCACTCAAGCTGACTTAAAGCAAGCAGCAAACATTTGCAAAAGGCAAGGTTTGCGCAATTTACGTGTCAACACGCCATGTTTACAAGATCGTCGGCCACAGCGGAGTTAAGGTGCTTTCACACTAGCACTTTTGGTCCGCACTCGGCTTCATTTGACATTAAAGTATGGTACTATTAGTTAGTGTGAATGTGTCTTCTGAACTTGCGTGTGCACCTGTAAACCGAACCCGTGTCTGGGGTACGGTTTGTGCGAACTCTGGTACGGTTCACTTCTGATATAAATGTGATTAGGGTTGGGTCGATAGACAATGGCATCATCCATCGCTGATGGCCTATAGACATCAGGATGCTGAGCCGGCATCGCGATCCTCCACTCCGCCCCCATTGCAGCAGCAATCCACTAACGAAAAACACACATTCAGGCCCCGTTTACACTAATAGGTTTTAAAATGGCATCTTAGAATGAAAACGATCCACGTCCACTGGCGTTATACCTAGCATTTCTGAACAGCGCTCCGTCCACATTACACCGCTGAAAACGCACTTCACGTGACCAGACACACACACACTCTGTCATGCGCTGCAGCTTAGAGCACAAAACCCCAGAGAGCAGTGCAAGTCAGACAGTTTATCAAGGATGTCCCATTGGATCGCGTCTCACTATAGTTGTTAAACGTGATATTTAATTAATCTTGTCTCTATCTAACTGTTTTTCGGTCTTTTGAATCTACCAAGTAAAGTGTCACAGCGTCAGTTCACTCATAAGTCATTATGAATTAATTAATTATTCATTAATAATTAATTCACCGCCACCTACGACAATGATGCCATCGTCCATCGTGATGTTTCCCATTAGACATTGTATGATGCCAAATTGGTCAACATCGCCCAACCCTAAATCCAATCGTACCAAATAACGGAAGTGCACTGCCAACTGTATAACAAGGTTTAGTTTTTGTAATGTTTATTCGTGTGTGTATGTCTGTGTATCACCTGCCTTGGTGACAAGCAGGACAGTGCAAACAGGGATAATGTCAGCTTGTCTCCACCAAAAATGACTTCTGCAGAAATCACGTGATGTTCTGAACATTTTTCACGTTTTTTTTTTTTTGTGGCAGATAGATGCAAATGGCTCTGTATTTTGTTTTTGGTAACAATATCAAAAGATTCAGTAAAAGCAGAATGACCATGATATGCAGACATCTCCATTTTGCCTTGCTTTCATGGCCGTCACCTAGAAACAGCTGTACACAAAACTGCAGCTTGATGACGCAAGCGTACAGAGGTTCAGAAGAAAAAACACAATGTGAACACAAACCAAACAAGAAGGTGGCAATTGAACTTGGGTTTGATGCAGGTAATTGAAGTGTGAAAGCACCCTTAAAGCAAAGGAACGTGATTTTTTTCAATATCGGACAGTGGGAAACGGGGCTAACAGTAGCGCTATTTTTTCCAAAGCCGCTGCCACGTCACCGCGCTGGGACGGTGTAATTTCAGAGGCATTTATCACCGGCTTTCATGTCTCAAACCCTTAGGGCACTTTTCCACAAAACATGCAAACAGGCACCACTTGGTGTCATTAAGCTTTCCCTCATTTCTGTTTTTTTTCTTCTTCTCTTCCTTCATTAATTAGGGAGTGATAATTATTCGACACATCTATAGCCCCTTCCGAATTACCATTGGCCAATTATCCTGATTGGTGACAGTTGTAACGTGATTGATGACAGTTGTAAAAACAAAATAAGGGTTTCTGACAGAAGAGGAGATGAAGACGTGAAAGTCGAGCACTGACCTGAATCTGCTGCTGGAGGAGATTGATTTTGTGCTGTTGCTGCAGAAGTTGCTGCTGTTGTCTGGCGATCTACAAAGGGAGAACAATTTGTTTAGATGAACGCCAAGAAAGACTGGCCTACACCGTTAAAAGTATGTGCATTATCACTGCGTATAAGAGAGCAACCTGATTTATTATAGCATGTATTTATGCAGACAGATAATGCATGCAATCAGAGCTTGTGGGTAACATCTCTGGTCCACCAATTGACCCTAATGACTGTAATCAGGAAGCTGCTAATGTGCATCATACCCAGCTCCGGGCCGGGCCAGGGCGATGCGCTGCAGGGTGAAAGACTGGCATGTTTATGCAACCTAGGAGTGGTCGGGTCTGCCCAAGGGTGGGCTCTCGACGTTAAACGAATCCCATCCACCCTCCCTCTCTCCCCAGCCTCTACAGACTCCCCCGTTCCTCCTCCTCCTCAGTTAGCCTGACAGCCTAGGTTTAAGTGTCATTTAATTTTCATTTTCAAATATAATTACAAAGTGTTCACTGTAAGATATCACCCGTCTGCAAATGTGTCAGGATTAATTTGTGCTGGCTTCTTCACTAGTGTCAACAGTTAATTACTGTGTCGTGTCTGGATGGCTAAATGACATCCTAACTTCAGGCTCCCCCCCCCACCCTCTCTCTCGCTCGCTCTCTTCTATCCTCTCCCTCCATTTTGTTTGTCATTAATGGAAAGGGATGCATTCTTGAGCGTTTTCCGAAACAGTAAAATCCTGCAATAACCATTCATTAAAATCAGCTGAGCATACAATGAAGATACAATCCTCATAAAGTTGAAGAGTCGTTAATAGGACAGATTCAGAAGCGCGTGCATCCATTTCAGGTAAACCGCATTAATATGCACCTATTCATCTGCATAATAAATTGACAGCAATTATATGGTTTGGCTATAAAAACAGAGAAGATGTAGATGGATCTTGTGCGACATTAACGGAGCTCATGAGCTGCTGATGCAGTCAGTACGCCTCATTTGCTTGATCTACACATGCTGCTCATGCAAACTTTGATTTAATAGTGATCAGTTTCCCTACCAATTTGCACGCTTCCATATTGCATTAATTATATACAATAACTGTTACTTTGCACGTCCGTCCACGCAAACGCAGAGCCTGATTTGTCAAGGAGTGAAACATCCGGACATAAACTAAATCAAAATATTAAATCGCTAAACAGAAAGACTCATTACATATTTAAAAGCATAGAAGAGCAATCTTGTTTTAAGTGCCTCCTCTGATAAATAAGACCATAAAATGAGGGTATGCGATGCATGGCTGATAATATCATCATTATGCTGGCTTTAAACAAAACAGGGATGGTTGCAGAGATGATGAAAGAGTTGGCTATGGGAAAGTGTGAAACTGAATTGAATTGGCATCTCCCAATAGGAAATTGAATTGGAATGACAGGAAGAGGAATTTATTAAATTGTAATTTATTGAATTCAAGAGAGGCCATGAATTCACACTGGTCAACAAAAGTGCATTGAAATGTTAAATTAAAAGTGAACAAACTACTAAATCACAGTCTTTCAGCCTAAAGTTTGAATAGAACATGGAAATAGCGTACTTTAATAGTATTGTATTGTTTTCCAATGTAAATGTCTAAAGATTCTTATTTTATATTATTTTAAATTTCACTATAAAAGCAAAAGGACAAAATATAAGAGGTTTTTGTTTTCTGTGAAAAATGTCAAAAAAAGCAAGTTTATGATTAGTACAAGAACAGATATCTGACAACCAGCTCAGAACAATTTTGACTGAAAAACAAATTTTCATACCCCAAATTACAGATTACTTCTTAATCTAAGCAAACACACATATAACTAACTTATTTATTTATTTATTTATTTATTTGTATTGCAAAACAAAGATATGGAGGAATATATTTATCGAATAAATGTATTTGCTTTTTCCATGAATTTTCCTCATGAGATTTTATGCTTGGATTAAAGATTTGTTTTAATGCATTAATTTGTGAATGAGCAAATTAAATACACTTTTAAAATCTGATACATAAAACTTGACATGAAACATTATTCCACACTGGTCAACAAAAGTGCATTAAAATGTTAAATTAAAAGTGAACAAACTATGATGATATGACAATCTTTCAGCTTAAGGTTTAAATAGAAGATGAAAATAGCTTATCTTATTAGTATTTTTGTCTTGTTTTTCAATGCAAATGTCTAAAGATTATTACAGTATTTAAGTGTTTTATATTTCACTATAAAAGCAAAACAACTAAACATAAGAGGCTTTGTTTTCTGTGAAAAATATCAAAACGAAGCAAGTTTATGATTAGTGCAAGTACAGATATCTGACAACCATAACATAAACTCTTTATTTGTTTGTTTATTTGTTTGATTGTATTGCAAAACAAAGATATGGAAGAATATTTTTTTGTATCAAATAAATGTATCTATGTTTTTTTCCATGAATTGTTCTCATGAGATTTTATGCTTAGATTAAAGACTTGTTTAAATGCCTTAAATTGTGAAAGGGAAATTTTTGATTTTTAAAATCTGATACAGAAAATTTAATTCTGTGAAATTATTCCACACTTTTTAACAAGCTATGATAATATCCCAGTCTTTCAGCCTAAGCTTTGAATAAAACATGGAAATAGCTTACTCAGTATTTTTGTCTTGTTTTGCAATGCAAATGTCTAAAAACTCTTATAAGTATTTCTAAAGTATTTTGTATTTCACTATAAAAGCTAAATGACAAAAAATAAGACATTTTGTTTTCTGTGAAAAATATCAAAATGATGCAAATACATGATTAGTACAAGAACAGATATCTGAAAACTGGAATAAATTGGACTGAAAAATGTTATACCCCAAATCACATATTAAATCTTGATTTAAGCATCAACTCTCTATTTATTTATGTATTTGTTTGTTTGTTTGTATTGCAAAACAAAGATACAGTATAGAGGAATATATTTATTTATCAAATAAGCTTATTTATGTTTTTTCCCATAAACTTCCCTATGAGATTTTATGCTGGGATTAAAGACTTAAATTGTGAAAGGGCAAATTAAGATTTAAAGACACTTTTGAAATCTGATACATGCACATTACTGCAGGTGTTTTCTTTAACTTTCTTTAAGTTGCCTTGAAAATTGTTTCTATTCTAGCTAATTCTACTTCCTTGCATTACAAATTCAATTATGTTTCCTGTCCAGAATTGACTTTAACACTGATTTATTCAATTCTGAATGGTGCTCCACCCTGGTTTACACATTCTCACCTGCTCTTGCTGTTGGCGTGCCAGCTCCATTTGCTGACGCTGTTTCTCCATCTGAGAGGCGGCCAGTTTCTTCTGCTCATCATGGGCTGCCAGAAGCTGCTCTCGTAGACTGATGAGCTGTGTGATCATGGTGGAGAGTTGTCGCTCCTTCTCTGCAAGACTTTCTGGAGTACCTGCGACAAAACAAATGCAGTCAAAAACAGGGAACAAAATGGAAGAAGGAAGAAAAAAAAAACACTTCACAACCCTGCACCCTCTCCCAGCAGTGAGAAGAAAAGGTTTACATCTCACGTTACATCAGCCAGATGTCCCTCACCTCTTATATATAGTCTCTATACCAAGGCAAAGGTCAGTTTTCCTAGAGACAGAACAGCAAACAAAGCAAGTGCTGGAAAACAGAGACTTGTTAATTGATCTGCGCTTCTCGGATATAAAAAGCTCCCACAATCGAGAAGCTCCTGGGATCAGCAAGTCTTTTTCTTTTTTTTTTTTTCAGGAGAGGGCAGGACAGAGCCAGCAAATGCTGAGCATCCAGCACGTCTCAGTCAAGTGAATTCCTCAAGACCACAGGAGGCGGTCCAGGAGGCTCCGTCAAAGCCGAGAATGGTGTCTTTCAAACAACCAATGGAAAAGCTTCATTAAAAGTGCGAAGGTCGCAACTCCCTCGCTCTCTCTTTCCACTTCTGGTGATCGCGGCTTCTCGGAGAGATGGTGAGGAATGGAATTGTTCCTATTAAATAAGAGGGGCTGTCACAAGACGAGTGAAGGTGCCAGATTAGTGACAGACAATACAGGGCAAGTGTAGCGACAGTTGCACGACTGGAGGCACTGCCATGTAACGACTGCTCTCAATTCTCATTAAGGGAGGAGCAGACGCAAACACCTCAGAGCTGACGTGCCTCTCACAAACAGGGTCACCGTCACCTCTGTATCCTCTCATTATCTCCCTCGCAAGCATCAAACAGCAACGCTACCAACGCATAATCACACCAGACAATGTGCAAGCCTCCTGAGTATCCTCCTGCGAGGCTGTACCTTTAGTTAATCAATGCTAAGCGATCCAGCCTCCGGACAGTAACCTGCTGCTCTGAGACAACAGTGCGATTGGATTGGCTAGCGGCCAGCTCGGTGTTGAATTCTTTCCTGGGTGTCTTCCTATGCTCCCCTGGCCACATCTGTCTTGAGTTTCTCCGAAGCAGCTCCCTGGGGCCCGCTCTAGTTCAACTATTTTAATTTGACTAAACACCTTGATTTATTTTATCTCTCCGATGAGGAAAGCCGTTTGTCTTAATAGGGCCTGTCAACTTCCAGCCCCCATTCAGAGCAATTTACTGGCCGGCGCTTGAGCAGCAGTGATGAAGGAGAGAGGGTGAAATCGTCCCATTTACTCTCTCTGTCAAAAAAAGGCACCTAAAAAAGGCGCCCATTGACTGCTTGCTGCATGTGGCTTCCTTGGGCATGAATTGACTTTTTATTCACTTGTTGTGAATGGCTTATCTGTAAAATTGATACATTTGCTACCGATTTTATTAACCTTTGGCTTGAGGCATGAAGGGCTGTTGTTTAGCGTGTGCTGCAGTCGGGATTGACATATGCCCTTCGTGCTCGCTCGGAAACGAGAGAGAGAGTAGGTAAGGTGGGATGGCAGTGCATTTGCAATGGGAGCGACACTTCAGGTCAGAAGGACTGTTGGATGTCAAATAGCAAAACTTGCTCCTCCTTCCAGCTCCCAGAGACTCTCAGGGGCCCCTGGGGCAGGACAGGACTCATATCCTACTGAGAGGCAAACATCTGGACTCAATTCTGCCCGCTCTTCAGACGACCCTCTAAATCAATCACACTTTTCAATCTCACAATCTATTGCAACGATTATGCAAAAAAAAAAAAACAGAAGCACACTTCTGTAAGGATGCATGGTGAAATGATCATGTTTCTTTATTGGGTATTCTATATTAGGCACAGGCTGGTATAAGATTCTGACGGTATGATAACCTTGGATAAAAATATCATGGTTTCACGTAATGTGATTACTGCTCTAAAATATAATTTTTAAATGTCTGGGTAAAATAAAAATAAAACACAATATTTTTTTTTTGAGAATCATTTAAAATATTTTGAAGCAATAAACATGTCAGGTTAAATAATTCAAATAAATCACCGACTTCTGCTGTCTTCATTAGTTTCAAAAACACATATTTCTTTACTATTTGAAATGACATCTGCTGGAGATACTGTTGTCCAAAAAAACTAAACAAAAATGAAATAAAAAATCTTACATATACTGTAGGAACTGTATAGCAGAACATTTTGGCGGTTTTAAAACCTTGATTTTTCCAAATCGCAGTAAACCTTGAAAACAGTTATCGTCCCATGCATATTTTCTATATATTTTAATAATGCAAGTTACAGTAGCTGTGTTTTAGCGAGGAGCCACAGACTGTGCCCAGGAGAGGTTCAGTGTGTGCAAAGTGGTGGTCCACACAAACACCAACAGCATACTAACAGAGGCTCCATTGTTTCGTCTCGGGCTCGATTGTCCAGAGCTCACCCCACCACCCCACCCTGCTACCAAAATGTCTTCCCTCTTCTGTTTTCCCCTCCTCAGATTTCTGCGCTGTTATGCTCCTGTGTCATTGTTTTCTGACTATAACAGCAACTTATGGACAGTTAAATAATTTTGAGTCTATTCTTTCTGACAATACTATAAAAGGTCTTGTATAAAGTAGAATTTAGCTTTTTCTAATTTTAGTTGTTTGTATTACAGCTGAAGTCAAAATTATTAGCCCCCCCCCCCCCCCCCCCCCCCCTAAATTTATTTTCTTTTTTATATATTTCCCAAAAGATGTTTAACAGAGCAGGGAAACAGTGCTGAAGGTATATCCCACATTCCCAGTACTTACATAGATACATTTTTTAACTCAAATGGTTTGTTGCAATAGGTTTCCTCGAATGGTTTAAATTGACTTAACTTACTGGGTTGTGGGTTTTACAGTACTTAGTTAGTTTGAGTTCTCTATTTATTGGGCTTTACTGTGCTCAAATTGCTTCGCTTACCCAAATGGCATAAGTTCACCGTACTCATTAGGATTAGTTTTTGAACTTAAATGGTTTGTTGCAATCGGTTTCCTCAAATGGTTTAAGTTACCTTAAATAAATAACAATATAAACCAGTAGATGCACATATATTTACTCAATTGTGAGATTTAAATAAAAATCCTGTATATTTTGGTAGTCCTGCTCTGGTATACAGGACTCTTGCTTGCTTTGAATTATAGATTCCTTTTAAAAGCAGATAAAAGTTTTATTGGCAGGGGAGCAAGGGGGGTGGGGGGTTGGGGGGGTCTCGGTGTGTATCTGTCCTTACAAAGAAAGCAGTGGTGCATATTGCATTGCTCTTAACAGCGGTGAGTTTGGCTGCTCTTGTAAAGGTGTCTCGTTGCATTGTCGTTCTGGCTTGACACAGCCTGGCTGGGAGATCCTAAATAATGAGAGCAGGTTAGATTTGTCTAATTCATCAACGAGGACACAAGATTCCACTCAGGACCTCTTGGCTGAGGAGGAAAAGGAAAGAATGAGGCGGCGTCAACCGAACATTTACCTTCCTCTCCCTTCACTGTCACAAACCAGATTGGATGACATTTCCCACAATGGCCAGCTCCAATGCTGGAGAGAAACAACTGCGACTGCGGTGAATGAGCGAGAGAGGGAGCTGTCAAAGAGAGGGGCCACCAGATAAAAGACACTTTGTAGGGGTGCGATTTGTTCTGTCCAACAGCCATTCTGCCACCCCAGGCCAACCCCACCCCCCCTTCCCCTCTAATCAAGCAGGCCCTAATTTGAGTTCCAAGTCCAGCACCAAGGGAAGAGAGGGCAGCTTGTTACTTTGAAGAGTCCCGAGTGAATAAGAGAGATAAAAGATCCAGGCACACACTAGGAAGAAAGAGGAAAGGGGGCGAAAGAGGGAAAGACCCCTCTATTCTCTTCTCTTCCTTTGGTTAGGACAGCTGAACCATTATGGCTAAATTTGAATGACTTATTTTTTTCAGAATACTGGAATTTCTTTGTCTCTCCATCAGTTGGCTTTCTGTGGATGCTCCCATATGCTGCGAGCTCATCCTAAGTAAATTAAGAGAGCTCTAAAAGCAGCGATTGTGCCTGTGTCAGGTCCAGACGCTGGACTGTGCATAACTGGCATGCCTTTAGAGACTGGTGGATCGGAGGCAGTGAAAAGGTATATTCCCTCATGTGATCTAGAAATGGGAAAAAAGGTCACTAATGATTTTTAGCCCTGCAATACATATACACAAGGACTTTGATTTATGGTCCCCATATGAACAGTGAAGGTTCTTTTATGTGTCTATTGTCGATGTCCATACCAAAGAAGAGATTTCCAGATTAATAAAAGGGAATATATATATATATATATATATATATATATATATATATATATATATATATATATATATATATGTGTGTGTGTGTGTGTGTGTGTGTGTGTGTGTGTGTGTGTGTGTGTGTGTGTGTGTAAAAAAAAAACTATAATATGTTTTTATTTCAGTGACCTTAAAGTGAGCAGAGTTAAATTACTATTAGGATTGAAGAACCTTGTTGCATCTGAAGACAAGACCCAAGGGTAAAGATCAAACTAAATCAAAGATTAAAGACTGAAAGCACACACATACAGACACACGCAAAATCATTATAATTTGGCTCAGATGACATTTATATGAACCTGCACATGCAAATAATGTTATACTACAAATAAATAATGCCATGACTTATACAAGTCATTCAGTAATAATAAATAAATAAATAAAATAAATACAGACAGACAGAAAGGGTGATAGACAGATAGATAGATAGATTAATTAATAAGTTAATAATTAATTAAATAAATATATGATAATTAATATTTTTGTAATTGAATTACGAATGAATGAATTTATTTATTTATTATTACTGATAGTACTGTAAAAACTGTTATTATTTATTTGTAATATAACCAAATGTACAATACAATAACCTAAATTTATTATTATCATAATTAATAATAATAATAATAATATCATTTAAAATGCTGTTGAATGACAAGAAGCACTTGAACTAGTAAAGCATTATTAAAAAAAGTGTCCGTTTCTCCAGAATCAGATGGTACGACCAACAGCTGTTTTAC